CCTTACTCCCCAAGGCCCCAAATTCTATTTTATGGCATCCTTTTGGCTCTGTCCCCACTGATCACTGTCCAATCTCCTGTATATAGATTGGTCCAGGAGATGAATGGACTGTCTTGACTCAGATACCCTTTTCTGATCCAGTCAGCCATGACGTCTTAGGTGATGGGAGCTGTGAGCAAGTAGGGCAGTTTCCTTCAGAAGGGGTTGAAGGAAGGGCAGGCAGCATTAGGAGTGCACCTCTGTTGAATTTGTCTTCTTTCTTTCTAAATTTTGATGTTTCCTGTTTTTAGTGTCTTAATATAAATTGTGTGTTGTGTTGAGCAAGTGAAGGCAAAGTCTTAGAGAGAGATTTAACATGTTCCAAAGCAAATAACCCTCCTCTCTGCCAGAAATAAGCCCTTTAATACTAAAGAAAAATGAATTAGTGCTACTATTCTTGAGATTTGAGTTAAACTTTTTGGAACCTTAAGACATTCTCAGTGAAAACCTGAAGGCTTTGGAATTCATCTGTTTTCTAGTCAAAAATTTTCTCATTATTTCCCTCTGTACATTTTTTCCAGTTGATATGTGAAACTTTATAATGATATTACTTCTGGGACATAAGCTTTGAGAACTGCCACAGGTGATGTATAAATATTCCCTTAGTACTTGCATAATTGTCAGTAATTCATAGCTTATTAATTAACATTTGAGGGGGAGTCCTGGTTAGGTTACAGAATTACACTGAATTACACTAAAAACATATTGTAAAGTTACACTAAAGTGGTACGAGGGGCTTGGACTTGTGCTTCTGGCCAAGAAGGAGTAACATCTTGGATTTACACCCTCACTTGGATATATTCCTTCCCACCTTCAACAACTAAAGCCCAGGAAAATACATGAGACAATGGCATTCAAGGCATTGAACATCAGGCAATGAAGGACAGTGATCCCTGAAAGCTGGGAAATGAATGAGGTGAACCCTACTCTTGCCCTAGCTTTGCCTGGAGGATGTTTTCAGGCCTTAGATCAGGTTGAAGGAATGTAGGTACTGTCCACTGATCTCCTGAACTGAGGAGGTGAAGCTCCAGGTCAAGAGAGCCAAGAAGGTAGAGTACCAGAGAGGAGAGAGCAGCGTAGAGAGGGAACTCTGGAGAGGTGTGACGCGTCCCCCGAGAATTCAGCTGATGACTGACCAGTGCACACGTGAGAAAACTGATAAAGACATTAGAACATTGTTCTAACTCTGTTCAATATGTTCAAGAAATTAGAGGAAAGATTAAACATGCTTGATAGAGACATGAAAGATGAAAAAAAAAAAAACAGTACTCATGCTGAATATACAGAGATTAAAAACTAAATTGTCTGAAATTAAAAATACCTGTGTGGAATTACTGGCAGATAAACATTTTTGAAGGAAAGATTAGTGACGTTGAAGACATAATAAGAGAAACTATCCAAATGAAACACAGAAAAAAAGACTAAAATAAACAGATCAGTGAAATGTGAGCTAACTTGCAAGTAATTGAAGAACTTGAAAATGGAGGGATACAGAGAAAATATTTAAAGAAATATTGGTCATTTTTTCCCAAAATTTGATGAAAACTATAAACACAGATTCAAGTTCAACAATCTCTAAACAAAAGACATATTAAAACAAACAAACAAACCTATGCTAAGGCCCATTGTTTAAAACCAGTGATAAAGAAAATCTTAATGCAATCAGAGAAAAATAAGAAACAGCACACAGAGGGACAAAGACAAGTACGACACCAAATTTTTCTTCAGAAACAATGCAACTGAGAAGACAGTGAAGAAGTATCTTCAAATCACTGAAAGAAACACAGTCAACTCAATCTTGAAATGTTTTACTCAGTGAAAATATCTTTCAAAAATGAAGGCAAATAAAGACTTTTTCAGATGCATAAAAGCTGAGGAAGTTCATCACTAGCAGACTTGAGCTAAAATAAACGTTAAAGGAAGTCCTTTAAACTGAAGAATAATGGTACTAGATGGAAGCCTGGATCTATACAAAGAATTGGAGAGTTTGGAAATGTTAACTATGGGGATAAACATGAGACATTTTTTATTGTTATTTAAATCTTTTAAAAGATCATTGGCCTTTTAAAGACACAAAGACAATAGAAACAATAACAACATATAAAATAAATAAAAGCCAGAGCACAAAGGCCAGGAGGGGAGAAATAGAAGTACACTGTTTTAAGGTTCTTAGACTATACCAAAGCAGCATAGTAGATTCTACCATTTGAATGCAGACTATGCTCAGCTAAAGATGTTTATTGTAAACCCTAAGCAATCACTAAAATAACACAGCATAGACATAACTAACAATCCAAGAGTGAAGATAAATAGAATCATAAACAAATAGTTATGTAATCTAGAAGAAGTCATAAAAAGAGGAAAAAATGAATGAAGAACAGATGGGACAAATAGAAAAGAGAAGTCAAGAGTCTTGCTTTGAATCCAAAAATGTCAATCATTGCATTAAATGAAAATGATCTAGGGGGCTGGCCCTGTGGCCAAATGGTTAAGTTCGCGCACTCTACTTCAGTGGCCCAGGGTTTCTCCAGTTTGGATCCTGGGCATGGACATGACGCCGCTCATCAGGTCATGCTGAGGCGGTGTCCCACATAACACAACCAGAAGGACCTGCAACTAGAATATACAACTATGTACTGGGAGGCTTTGGGGAGAAGAAGAAGAAGAAAAGAAGATCAGCAACAGATGTTAGCTCAGAAGCCAATCTTCAAAAAATAAAATAAAATGATCTAAACACCCTAATTAAATGGCAGGGATTTTCAGATTGGATGAAAAAAAGCAAAACAAACTATATGCTGCCTACAAATAATGCGTTTTACACAAAGGCATAAAGATACTTGCACCCCTACGTTCATTGCGGCATTATACACAATAGCCAAGACTTGGAAGCAACCTAGGTGCCCATCAAGGGACGAATGGATAAAGAAGATGTGGTATTTATATACGATGGACTACTACTCAGCCATAGGAAATGATGAAATCCAGCCATTTGTGACAACATGGATGGACCTTGAGGGTATTATGCTGAGTGAAATAAGTCAGAGGGAGAAAGTCAAATACCACATGATCTCACTCATAAGTAGAAGATAAAAACGAAAAAAAAAAAAAAACACATAGCATTGGAGATTGGACTGGTGGTTACCATTGGGGAAGGGGGGAGGGGGGCAGGCAAAAGGGGTGGTTAGGGTCACATGTGAGGGGATGCACTATAATTAGTGTTCGGGTGGTGAACATGATGTAATGTATACAGAATTTGAAATATGATGTACATCCAAAAAAACAAAAATTTTAAAAATTTTTTTTAAAAATGTGTTTTAAATATAAAGATGTAAATAAGTTTAAAAAGGATATAAAAAGATATAAATAAGTTTAATAAGGATATAAAAAGATATGCTAACATTAATCAAAAGACAACTGGAGTGACAATATTAATATTAGACAAAGTACATTTCAGAGAAAATAATACTACCAAGGATAAAAAGGGGTATTTCATAATGATAAAGTGATCAGTTCATCAAGAAAACAACATTTCTAAACGTTCATGCACCTAATAATAGAAATTCAAAATATATGAAGCAAAAACTGATGGAATTTCACAAAAAAATAGACAAATGTACCGTTCCTCTCTCAATAATTGATAGAACAAAGAGGCAAAACCAGTGAGGATATAGACTTGAAGAGCTCTATCAACCAAATTGACCTACTTCCCATTCATAGAACAATCTACTCAACAACAATAGAGTGCACATTCTTTTCCAGTACACACCATCATTCACCAAGATAGACTATTCTGGGCAGTAAAGGAAGGCTCAATAAATTTAAAAGGATTCAAGTCGTATGTTCTCTGACCACAATGGAATTAAACTAGAAATCAATAACAGAAAGAGATCTGGAAAACCCGCCAACATTTGGAAACCAAATGACAACTTCTAAATAACCCATGGGTCAAAGGGAAATTGGAAATATTTGAAATGAATGAAAATGAAAATACAATATATTAAATTTTGTGGGAAACTTATGAAATTAAATGCCTATTTTGGACAAGAAGATAGTCTCATATTAATGACCTCAGCCTCCACCATAAGAAGCTAAAAGAAGAACAAGCAGAACACATAATAGCTTGAAGAAAGGATGTAGTATAGATCAGAGGGCAAAGCAAAGGAACAGAAAGTGTAAAAACAATAGAAAAACTATGTAAACAATAATTGGTTCCTTGAGTAAATCAATAAAATTGATAAACCTCTAACAGGACAGATCAGGAAAACAGGAAACAAATTACCACTATCAAAGAGGGGTGACATCACTACAGACACTACAGATATTCAAAGGATAATATGGGAATATTCTGAGCAACTTTATGTCAATAAGTTTAACAACTTTGATGAGAGGGACAAATTTCTTGAACAACATGAACTACCAAATTCACTCAACAGGAAATAACTTGAATAGCCTTTTATCTATTAGAGAATTCAATTTTGTGGTTAAACGTTCCCAATTACCAGATACATTTGATGCATAAAACTTAAAATAGGGTCCAGCCCGGTGGAGCAGTGGTTAGGTTCTCACATTCCTCTTCTCGGCGGCCCAGGGTTCACCGGTTCAGATCTCAGGTGCAGACATGGCACTGCTTGGCATGCCATGCTGTGGTAGGCATCCCACATATAAAGTAGAGGAAGATGGGCACAGATGTTAGCTCAGGGCCAGTCTTCCTCAGCAAAAAGAGGAGGATTGGCAGTAGTTAGCTCAGGGCTAATCTTCCTCAAAAAAAAAGAAAACTTAAAATATTATTGAATGGAATTCAAATGATACAAACCAGACACAAAAAATTCAAATATTTCTAGGGGCTGGGTAAATACACTGTAAGTGAATGACATGGAATCGTTATAGGAAAAAATAACTGCCAAAAATACAATCAGACTTTATTTTTACTCAGCCATAGCATGCATAGAAATGTAACATAATATAAACACATATAAAAGCAGAGATTTTATTTTAATTTGAAAATTAAAACAAAGTCAACATATAATTCTTAATTAATTATTATTTCTTGTGGTTTTTGCCTCTTCTCTAGAATCAGAAAACTAATTCCTTTTCTTCTACCCTTAGATATTAATATTTTTGTGTGTTTCCTATGGCATTGTGGATAACTTCAAATATTTTACTTTGGCATTGGCATTTAATTTTATACAGATTCATAATGGATAGGAGTTATTGACAAAAGTAGGTATTTCCAAATATGGATCGAATTCTTATACAGCAATGTGCTCTTCCTTCCTCTCTCTTTGCAGGGGTGGCTCCTTCTCATTGTTCAGTTCTCAGAATTAAAATTTCCTCTTCAGAGATGCCCTTTCCCCATCATTATTTTTCATTCTTCTATTTTCTTAATAGTATTTTTTTTACTGGTAGCTGCCCTTTTCTTTGTTAACCTGATATTCAACTGTTCCACTCGTCTGTAATTTCAGTGGAGGCAGGGTCTCTGTCTGTTTCCCTCACGATTGTACACCAGTGTCCAACTTAGTGCCACACTACAGCAGGAGCTCAACAAAGAGTTGAAGAGAGTGAACAGAATCCACTAACCTCTAGAGAGAGGCCAGCACTGATGGTTGACATGTACTATTGTCTCAGTCAGTGAGGATTTGAGACTCAATTAAAAGTCCTATTCATAATGGACAAAGATAACAGAACTTTTTTTTAAATAACTTTTTGGAGGAGAATTTAGGAGCATTTATCAGAATTTAAATTGGACACACACTTTGACCAAACTCTTGACCTTTCAGCAATGCGTGTTCTAGAGACTCACAGTATACACCTTTTAAAGCCGCAGTTCCTTTCCTAGGCGTTTAGCCTAAAGAAGTAGTTAGACAAGCACCCAAACACACGCGCAGATGCATTCTCATGACAATATTATTTGTAAAAGCAAGAAACAGAAATTGGAAATGAGCTAAATGTACTTTAAAATTATTTAAATAAATTCTGAGTCATTAACGAGATGCTCTGCAGGCGTTAAATGACAGCATATAACTGCATTTAGTTATAGTTGAAAATAACAGTGAAAATAAATTCAGAATATATTGTTAGGTGAGAAAAGTTTAAATAATATGTATAAGGTTATCATCCCCTATTTTTGGTAAAAAAAAAAAAAGAAACAACTAATGTATATACACGGGCATACCCAGAAAAATATCTAGAAGGATATATAGAAAGTTGCTCATAGTGATTATCTCTGGCTAGTTGAATATCTAAATTCTTTTTGATACTTGTTTATTGTAACAAGGAGCATGCGCTAATTTTATAACAATTTTTAAAACTAATAAAGATATTTCCATTTGAGAAAAGTATTTCTTAAGAAGATTATCCCACTTCTCTTAGAAATATATTTGAATGTCTCCCACGCCTTCAATCAGAAATTTCTTCCAATTATGGAGTGTTTCACATTGATGAAAAAGAAGAAATGTTTTTAAAAAGTTGACTTTTATTTTTCTTTCAACATGTTCCAGAACACAGCTTTTCTTAAAATTTTTTTTTGTTTTATTTCATTGAGTTTTAAGTATTGTCCGTGAAGTTGTGACTTTATTCATTATCAGGCTCAATTTGCAAACTAGATTTTATTTTGCATTTTGCTACTTAGGCATTTTTAAGTGAATTCACATAACTAATTTTCCTGGCATTACATTTGGCGTGTACAAACGGACACTCTGGATAAGAGGAAAGTCACCATCTCACCAACAAACGATCAGGCTGTCACCCAGCTAAATCACAGTGTGTCATATGGGAATTTCATTTTCTTTGACAAAGATCTCCAATAAGAGCTGAATCATTGAGCTAGATCAGAGTCCAGCTAGTTCATAGGTTCTTTCTTCGCACGAATCAATCCGAACAGCCTGATGGGATCATCATGGATGTTTTCCTCTTCTTCCTGGTCCTCAGGTGCAAAACTATCAACCAAAGCAGTCATAGAAAGGCTGGCATCCGTCGCGTGTAACTGCTCATCTTCAACCTTGTCTGGCAAATAAGGATCGTGTTTCCTGGGCTTTCTGCGCTTCCCCTCAAGGCTGTGCTCCAGGGAGGAGTAGAACATCTGTGCTTCATTGGTTGCCTAAAAAGAAAGGCATGTCAGGTTTTCATTGCTAGCCCATTCTTTAACTTTGATGACTTCTAGGGATTTCTAAGGCCTATGAAAAACCAGCAGCTTGTTTCTGGGCTTCAGCTACCTTGCTTTGCCAAATCTGTCAGTTAGGATGATAACAAAAAACAATAGTCAGCTCAAGACTTTTGAGTGGAAAAAAATGCTTAGATGAAATTTGTGTGTGCATATTTTTATTTTTTTCTCGTACTCAAATCATACATGAACGTTTTAGATGGACTCTCACGTGCCTCTCCCTGCCTTCATCTCAGGTGGCCCTTGCCCCGTGTTGCTCTTACCAAGGCACAATCCTCTAACTCGTTAAACGGGGAACAAGCATGACAGGAAGGAATTTCATAAATCACAAAGTCTATGTTACGCGTGCTTAAGAATTGGTCATTTGGTGGCACTCACAAAAGTCCCCAATTTTTCTACATTTTTGACATTCAGAAGTATAAAGATAAGTGTCCATTTATGGGATAGCATCTGGCAAGAATTACATTTCCCATCTTCCCTGTTATTTCCTTCTTGCCCGCCTGTCCCCAGGTCCCCTGAAGCCCATTTTAGGCTGGCCTTGGAGATATTCGTTTGTATCAAGAGGGTCTGGCGGTCCTCTCTGGCCTGGCGCCAGGTCAATACTAGAATAAGGACAGGAGACCAGTGAAACTTGAAGTGATAGGCTTGAAGGCAAGACCTTGAATTTGGTGTTGGCAAGCCTAGGGACTGAATCCCGGCTCTGTCACATACTGGTTGTGGGACCTTGAGCAATTTCTCAAAACTATTTGGGTCTCAGTTTTCTTGCTCATAAACTGAGAGTACCTATCACACAGTGTTATGAGTAAAAAGAGATAAAATATGTGGAAGCTATAACCACTGTCCAAAAGTAAGGTATGGGATTATAATTATTAGAAGCTGTATGCTAAAACTTTAGGACAGTCATTGAATAAACCAAAAACTTCTGTATTAAGGATTTACTTTAAGAGGACGCCAAAATTGAATCAATTTGTGGGGGCAGGAAGCAACCTTTAGATTAACAAAGCCCCTAACGCATTGGTAAGCATCTCCCTGTTGCATTCATTTTTTTTCTTTCTTTTTTTTGAGGAAGATTAGCCCCGAGCTAACATCTGCTGCCAATCCTCCTCTTTCTGCTGAGGAAGACTGGCCCTGAGCTAACATCTGTCCCATCTTCCTCTACTTTATATGTGGGACACCTGCCACAGCATGGCTTGCCAAGCGGTGCCATGTCCACACCTGGGATCCCAATCGGTGAACCCCAGGCCGTCAAAGTGGAACACATGCACTTAACTGCTGCGCCACAGGGCCGGCCCCTGTTGCACTCATTTTCATGCTAAAAGTTAAATGTCTTATATTCTCTACCAGGCAGAAGAGAGGGTTCCATTTCCAATCTATCTGGTATCTTTGTCTGACTTTTTATTCCTAAAATAGTCATTTCTGGGAAATTGCAACAGTTGCCTAACTGGTAACCTTGCTCTAGTCCCTTCTCTCTGCCAGTTAGCCCGTATCCTGTCTTCAAATTATCTTCCTAAGGCACAACTTTCATATATTTACCATCCTGTCTCCAAAATTTTAGCCTATGGACTAACATCCAAATTTCATCTCCCAACACTCAAGGTTTTCTGTGCTTGTGCTCTACCTTTTCAATTTTGATTCCCACCTCCCCCATACATAGACGCTGTATTCCAAGGTTCCACTGGACAGTTGGCTGCTTCCTGCACAGACCTCCTGCTTTCACCTGCTTTGCCTTTGCCCGGACAGAGAGAGGAGATGTCAGTGACGTTCAAATACAACCAGAAGGCGCCCAGTAAGTCAAACAGTGGATACCTTTTTTGTCTGTCCAGCACTTTGCTGTATCCTTTTTCTTCGATAAGTTCCCCATATTCCTTTGGGAAATTCCTCTCCTCTATCTGGTCCTTGAGAGACTGTCAACGACAGTGCTGCAGCCCAAGGCCAGCACAGAACTAAGCATGTGACCTAGGCTGGAACCAATCGCACAACCCATCCCCCGGCAACAGAAGTTGGCCCAGGAATGGACATGTGACTCCAGCAGAACCAATTAAAAGGCATCTTTGGGATTAATGCACAGATGCAGGAATAGCAAAGGTGTTTTTTCCTGGGGCTGGGAGGAAGAAAACTGGGTCTGCTAGCGGCTTGCCCAGCCTCAATGGAAGAGTCTGTACAGACGAGAATGAAGAAGAAATGGGGAGAGTTCCCATATTCAGCCATCTCAAAAACAAAATACACCCTTATCTCTCCCTGTTACATGAGCCAGAAACATCCCTTTTATGCTGAAGTGATTTGAATTGGGTGTCTGCACTTACAGCTGAAAGCATTCCAAATAGTATATGTCTGGTCAACAGTTGGTCAACTTTATCAAATACTGCAGAGTTCAAAGAATGGCTGAGAAAGACCACAAATTGTACATGTACCAGTCACTTGTGACTTCCAGAGTGTTGTTTCAGTTGAATGGATGGGTGGAGAATATATAGCCAGTGGTGAAAGAATGTGGATCTATGGAAAGAAATGGAAACAGTGGAGGAAAGTAAGAGTTTAAGAATTAGTGAGAAAAACAGATTGAAGTAAAGTTTTCCTGTGATGTTTGTTTTATTTTTAGATATTAGGGTGACTTGTGCATACGGTAGGTAAATAGTAATGATTCATTTAAAAAATGGACAATGGAGACAAATCACTGAAAGAGCAAGATCTTGAAAGAAATAGGAGAAATGGTCAAGAGCATAAGTAGGAATATTGGCTTTGGAAAGGAGAGAGGATGCTTCTGACATAGGAAGGGAAAGGAGAGAGAGGCCACAGATTTTGACATGAAGATGAGAAAAGGAGTAAGCCTAAACTTACGTCTCTCACATTTTTCAGGATATGGAAACTGATGTGGACTCATTTTATTACTAGGTTTCCTGATTAACTCTTCCTAGTTAGTAGACTGAGATATTGAAATAACAACTTCTCACCTGTACACCTCATTTTCAAAGGGCAAGGAGCTTATTTCCATTTTTCCAACAAACATTTTATCCCTCAAGCTTTATGCATAATATTGTAGATTCCTTCTGCTTTTGTAATTGACCAAAGTAACAGAGTGAGCATTGTAGTAGCAAACTAGGGAGTGTTTTTGATGATAATGATCATTCTAATAAAATGGAATTGAGCAAATATAGAGAGATTATTTCTAATTTGTGAAACTAAATTTGTGAGAAGGGTGTAATAGAATTAAAGACTAGTCTCCTTAGAAGAATCTTCAAATATATAATTTATAAAATAGCAGACTTTAAAAGACATTTTAAGGCTTTGCACAATTGCAACTTGCATAAACACCAGATGCAGCTCAAATAAAGCTGGCCTGTCCAATTCATGTGTATTAAATAGTAACTTCTATTGGGAATTCTCATTTCTTTCACAGCTAAGGTGCTGTGATCTCTCCATTTCAGATGGTGTGGTTACATTTTAACCTTCTTTGAGAGGTTTTCTTTTTCTTTTCATGGATTTAGCAGATCATACTGTAACGTGCAGTTTTTCACACCTTTTATCTAAAAATAAATTTTATAATAAGTTGAACATCAGATGATGGATTTGACCATCAGAGGGCGACTCTACATTTTGGTTAAACCTCGCCACATCTTGGTTCCTTAATAAAAATGTCAAGAATTCCGATTTCTTAGGGGATTCATATAAAAAAGGAGAAGAAAATTCGTGCTTAGTGGGAAGTTTCGAAGGTGCAAACCATCTTAGGGAGGAGAAACTTTTCTGCTAGGTGGGACTAAGTTTAGATTCCGTCTCCCCACTTGGCACTGAGCGCTTAGGGTAAGTTCTTCAGGCTTTACAAGCCCCTGTCTAGTGGGAATAACAAGGCTGCCTCCCTCATAGGAATCTGAGAAGATAATGCCTATAAAGCACATAATTCAAGGCCTGACACATAACAGCCGCACAGGAAATGCTGGTCCTGGGACCATTTCCAGGGAGTAGCAAGAGAGCACACAACTGAGGGGACAAGATCTGGGAGGAGAGGGAAGAAGAACGATTTTAACAGAGATTTCTAACACTTCAGCAGCATATAGGCTAGAAATTGTGAATGGCTTTCGATGAAATCAGTGCTCTGTCAGAAAAGACTGCACTGATTTTATAGGAAAAGGAGAAACTACCCATTTCTTCTTGGGTTTTTATGTGTTTCTGCTTAGACTTTGTTGAGACCTATCCCCACATAAGCCATGTGAAAATTTCTTGCCATAAGAGCACAGCCATAGGACTTGTATTAAAATGTACATTCATTTGCTTTGTAAAGTAGAAGTATGGTCTTTTATTTCCAGCTAATTTATCTTTTAGCTAAAGGTCTTTCTCTCCCGCCTCCCATAAATTCCTGACATCTAGCTCTTGTGAGCATCATGCCTGTGTCAACTTTTGTATTCATCTCTGTGATGCACACACTTTTTTCAATCTGAAAGAAAAAGCTTACTTAACTTAGGAGAATCCACTTTTCTTTCAAAGTGATTGTAATTACAAACGTGTAATTGTACATATTTTTGACTCTTCGAGTGTGGTTCTGAGTATATTTATTTGCCTTTGAGTTTCCCTTGAGAGCTCAGGTCCCAGAACTTGACACCAGTTCAGACTGAAAGTTCCTAGCAGGCTGCTTCAGGCGTGCATCGGAATGCGCTGCTTTCCTGCTTTTGAAACATGGGGCTGTGCTGTGATCGACGCTGAGCTTGACCTTTGATACAGAAAACAAAACTCACCTGTGCAGGTGTGGGAGCTGCTCGCAGTTGATTCACAGATCTTTCTGGTCGGGCTTTCATTTGCTCATAGCAGTTTTCATCCATTGGTTCTTGGGAGTTGAAAAGATCATGATTTACCAAGGAAAAATGAAAAATGCTGACACAAATAAAAATACATGACCCAAATGACATTTTGCTATAAATATGAAACCCCCAAGAATCGTTTGACCAGCTATCTCATGGGGATGCAAAAAGGTAAGGAAGCACAAGCTGCTCTCTGCATATCAGACGGTGGAGAAGTCTGTTTCCCCACAGCATTAACGATAAGACAAAAAGGTCACTTGGGATATGGACTAGATTCTCTTACTTTTTATATACTATTGCAGAACACGACCGTCTCAACTTCCATCACCATTTAGATGTTGCAGAGATCCCGTGAGCTGAAGGATGGCCTACGTTCTCTTCTATTTAGGGATGATGGCAAGCGATGTGTAGTGGCATAAAGCCCAGTGCACATACATTGGTGATGACAGTTTGATAATTTTCTCCATGACTAAGAAGTTTTACTCAGAGGCATTTTAAACCCTATATCCTATTTTTGAAAAAGAGGATTTAGATTATGGTTTTTGCTCCCTAAATCAGTGAAGGACAGTTCAGCCAGGCTGTCCAGAGGGTCTGAACCAGTGGAATGCCAGTCCTAAGGATCTGGTGTTTTGTGCAGGTCCAACAGCCAGCAGACCTGCCTCATTTCATCTTGTGGGGACAGGCTTATTGACTCATCCCTACCTTTCTTCCCCCAGATATGCCATTTAAAAGGGAGAGGAAAGAGAGATAGTGACTTGTAGGATGGCCAGCAACCTAGCAGAAATGTGGATTGAACCAATTTGACCCATAGAAAAAAAGACATATCTACTCTAACACAAGGTACCTCAAAATCATTCAACTGTTTCCAAAAATCAACACAGAGAAAGGTCCATAGAGTGGTGTCCCAAAGCTTGGTCCGTGGAAAACATGCATTAGAATCACCACGGAAATTTTCTACACAGCAGATTCCTAAGCCCTATCCTGAACCTACTCAATCAGAGCCTGTGGGAGTGATACCCGTGCTCACTTAGATACGGAAATTGTAGATACAGTGCGCTGTGAGCCGCCAGAGTGTAAGCATTTAAGTCCTCAAATATTACACATGGGCACCACGATTCTGGAAGGGGAAACAGGAGGGGAGGGCAAGGTATTTTTAATAGTATATTCCTGAAAAATAATTTCCGATTCCTCAGAGTGCAGAGAGTAGAGGATACTTTACAATGGAGGGAAAGATAAAAATTAAATAAATTCTTGAATCCTTTAAAATTCTCACACTCTTCCTTAAGGAGAATTCTATACTGTTTTGATCTATAGAGATTCAGATACATTTAGTCCATTACTGGAAATCTCTGCATTCAAGACTCAGAGATTAATAGGAATTACCCCCAAGTCTCCTCTCATGAATTAAGCGAAGTGCTTGCATGGCAAGGATGGAGTTAAATACCAGCATTACCCTCATGCCTTCTCTCATCACAGCTCTGAGATCGGATCACAGATGTCTGTTTTCAGGAATTTACGGGCATTTTGATTTTGGGTGGTTGAGATGCTTCAAGTAATGAGCGATGCTGGGAATTGAAGCGTACTTGTTTCACCAGAACAAAAATGAAGAAGCATTCAGTGGGGATTTGGCTCTTTCCCTACTTGCCATCAGTGTAGCCCTTAGTGTGCTACTTAAAAAGAATGAGTTAAAACAGGGGACACCAGGGAACAGGTTCATTGTTCCAGATTATTGACTGTAGATTTGCTTTTGTATACAGAGCACACAGCACTGTTCCCCTGGGCCATTTTCTGTTCTAGAAATAACTTTATTTCATAGAATTCTGTGTGTGTCAGAGTTCATGGTAACAGAGTCTTCCTGTATGCTCATTACTACTAAAGTGAAGTGAAGAGGTTGGAGAAAAACAGGATGTTGATTTACACTGAATATTGCGACACGATTTACACCTCGCAGCTTTGTAGAGCTAAATAACATGCTGAAGAGACTTGAATTTATGGTTTCTCTTGGGATATTTAAACATGATTGTGACCAAAAATAAGCCACCTCAAATTCTTTGTGGCATTAAGTGGGGGGAATAAATTTATAGATAAATTTCTAGAAAAATACAACTTACCTGGGATCACATTATCTAAGTTACCATAAATGGGTGTGTCTTCAATGTAATACTCATCCTCCCTATAATAAGGAAAAATAATTTGCTGTATTAGAATCCACTTGGCACATAGTTCTGAACTAATTTCTCAGCTAAATTCAATACTGGGTAAACTGTTGCGTGTTCTTGTTCAGCCTCGGCCAACCAAGGTAGATATATTTAGGTGTGAGTGAGTGAGGGAACATGAGTGTGTGTACACACCTGCCTGCACGTGTGTGTGTAAATTTAAACGTTGGTTTTTGGACCTTCTTCCAGGGAATAATGATAGCAAATACTTATCTAGCATTTACCATTTGTCAGATGCAACTTGAAGTGCATTTTATATATTCACTCATTTAATTCTGACAACAATCCAACCAGACAGGCACTATAGCCTCCCCTTTGTACAGATAAGGAATCTGAGGCACAATTTGCTGAGGGCCACAGGAATAGCAAGTAGCAGAGCCGCGATTAGAATCTAGGTTACCTGTGCCCTTAACTATACATTGTACTCCTTGCTTACTTGCCCTGACTATCACTCAGAGCCATCCCCTGAAACTATGTTCACGAAGTAAATATTAATTGACAGTGATGTTTAAAAAATATAAGGCCAAAGACTCAGCTTGGTAGATGCAGTAAAATGACTGATCACCTATTACACCCAGATGCGGTGCTAAGAAATAAGCCAGACAGAGAAAGAAAAACACTGCATGATTTCACTCATATGTGGAAGAGAAACAAACACATGGACAAAGAGAACAGATTAGTGGTTACCAGAAGGGAAGGGGGTTGGGTGATGGGCGAAAGGGGTAAAGGGGCATATATGCATGGTGACAGGTAAAAACTAGACTACTGGTGGTGAACATGATGCAGTCTATATAGAAACTGATCTATAATTGTATACAGCTGAAATTTACACCATGTTATAGGCCAATACAACCTCAATAAAATAATTTTTTTTAAAAGACCCAGGGAAATTCTGCAAAAATATTATTATTCTACCCACTTCACAGGGGAGAAGTCTGAGATTCAGACAGATTAACATATTTCCCCTAGCCTCATGTGTAACATGGGCAATAACTACCAATTATGAAAGCTTCTCTTTATGCCAGTGCTCATTCAACCCTCAGGACAGCCCGACAAGACACATCTTTTTATCCCCACTGTGCACATAAATAATTTGCAGCTCATAGAAGTAAATTGTCCAAAGACACACAGAAGGTAACTGGCAGTGACAGGATTGTAATGCAAGTCTGCTCCTAAAGCCCTGAACACTGTTTGCTCTTGATGCTTGATTAAATTTCCTTACAACCTCATCTAAGTAATGCTATTAGGATTACAGTAGACACCCCACCATTGTCACCAGACAGTGATGATGGCCCTGGTGACCAGCTTTCACAATGGCAGGCCAGGAACAGAGAAACATAGGCAGTGAGAGTGGCATTTCGTAAAATAGTAGCAACTGCTTCAACTTTGAGATTACATTTCACCAAGAGCTGGAGGGAATCGCATCAAAAGAAAAAAGAACTTTTATCTCAAGGCATAAAACCTATATTACTCCCCATGCTTCCGCGAGAAGACACAGTATATGTAAATGATAAGTAGATGTCCTTAAAAAAAGTAGCAGACCAAATGATACCTGTACGAAATGGTTTGAAAAGTCCAGATGCTGGCATGTATTTCACTTATCTGCTAACAAAGGAGCTCATCTGTAACCTTTCTTTTCATCAGTAATTCAATACAGCTTAATACTGGGATACAAAGTCGGCCCTGCTCCTGTTTTTTCTCTGGCTACGCAGAGAGTAGAATAGCAAAAGGTGAAGAATTTTTAATAAGACAATCCATCCATTTTCCTAGCCCGCATGGATAGTAGATACAACCTGCAAATGATAAATCATGTCCAAAAAATGAGCATCGTTTCATTCCCTATGAATGAAAATAAGATGTGATTTATAATGCAGTGCCCTGTGTCTACAGGCAGGTCTCAAATGATTAATCATCTCAAATAAACCATTATAAAGGAGCAGTTGCCTAAGCAACAAATTAAAAATTATGTTTTTACTTAGCAATTGCCAAATAGCTCCAGCCTATTGCAAATATCTTATAAACTTCAAGCACAAATGTTTGGCAGTGTTTTCAGTGGAAGACTAATTACTATTAAGAATTAATAAATAAGCCCATATCCTAGAGGTTAATGCACCTCTGCATTTTGGGCCAGATCAGATTCCCCATTGCTCTGAACATGTCTGAAATGGTCTTCTAACCAATAAGCACGTTTACTCACACTCTAAAATTTAAAATCATATTGACTGTATCTTTCACTAGGGTTTAAATTTTCTACTTTCATTTACATTTTCTCTAGCCTCTACTTTTAAAGTTTTTATTTATACTTTATCATTATTTTATTGTGAAGTTCTTTTCAGAAAAATGCCTCAAATACTTTATTATCTAAGTAGATTAAATAAGTAAATTTAATTTTTAAAAAATCATTACTTCCGCCTGGGTGACTTTGGATGTAAACTCTGAATTTCAATTTCCTTATTTATAAAACAAGGATATTAAACTATTTAATGCTTATTATTCTTTTCAGCTCCCAAATTCTATGACATAAATGTAGGCTTCCAATATCCAAATAAAAATGAAAGATATTTCTAAAAAACTCAATGAAGCTATTTTAAGGGGCTAGAAAGTTGTCTGAGGAAAGAGTAAGCTTAGGGGTCTATCAGAAGTTGGTTTCGGTAAGTGTTAACCTGATTTGCTTAATAGATATTTCTCTGAATAGGCAAACATATAAATCTGGGCTCCACCAGTGCATAAATGTTATTTAAAGCCAGGAGAGAGGATGAAATTACTACAGAATGAGTATAGATAGAGAAGAGGTTCACTAATGAGTCCTGGACACACTTTAAGGTTCAGGAACCAGCAAAGGAGAAGGAGCTGCTGGTAAGTAAGGAAGAAATGATGGTGCGGCCCAGAGCCTAGAGAAGACAGTGTCTCAAGAAGTAATGAGTGCCAGTGTGTCAGATGTCACAGATGGACTGCGTGCGATGAGACTGAGGTTTGGCCATGTGGATTTCATTGGGGACCTTGACAAGAACTGAGTCAGTGGATGATTGAGGACAGAAGATTGAATAAAGAAGATTGAGGGAGGAAGAGGAGAAGAGGAAGAGAAGCCAGCAGATATGGACAGAATGTAGCTGGAACTTTCAAGTTTTGCTGTAAAGGGTACAGAGCAATGGAGAGATAGTTATAGGCAATCTAGCATCAAGGGAGCTCTTCTTTTTTGTTTTTTAAGGTATGGGACAATACTGCCTGTTTATATAGTGATGAGAATAATACAAAAGGGATAGAAAAAGCAGTGATGCAGGAGAGCAAAGGGAAAGTAGCTGGAGCCACGTATTCTTGAGTCTACCCTGTTAAATTTTTGCTTTCTTTGGCAGGGGCTGTGCCATAGGTGCGGGTGTCTTAACCTTAGAGTGAGAAGACACCAAAGATAGACCTCTGGTCCAGGGGAAAAGCGTAAAGCTCAGCAATGTTGTGTGTGACCGGGGTTAGTACGACTAGGGTTTGCTAAGAACGAGTACTGCTCCCTATGAGGGGCATGGTTAATGGACTCTCGGAGCAATGATATCTGACACTAAATTTTTATTCTCTTGATCAGTGTTCAAATTCCCTTCTATTATGGCCACTTCTTTGTAAAATCTCTTAAACACAAGGAGCCTATATTGCCAGTGTTTTGGAGCACTTAAAAGGAAGGGTCTTTCGCTAAAGTTTTGGGGGAAAGGAGGCTGGGAAAATCTGCCAGCATGAAGAACTCTAAAGAGATATAGAAAGAATCTTAGAGCAGTGACACAGAGCTAGGGGTGACAAAAGGGCAACCAAGAATAAGATTTTTGCTTAACATCATACTCTCAAGGTCTATCCATGTTGTTGCAAATGGGATAAGGGGTGAGCACGATGAAGTGTACTCAGGAATTGATAAACAATAATTACACCTGAAATTACACAACATTATAAACCATTAGAATCCCAAGAAAATTACTTGAAAGGATCCCAGCCTGCAGAGCCCCAGAAATCCAAGAAATCGTCTTACGGTAGAAGAACAGCTGAGATGAGACATGTTTTCTGATAAAAACACCTTTCAACGTCACCCAAGAGCAGACCGAGCAAAAGCCGCTGGGAATTTGTCCAAGTTTTTGAGAGGAACACTCAAACTGAGGAGTCACGATAGCCTTAAAGTAATCGTGAACTGAGCTACTCTCCTAAACTAGAGGAGGAATGTGCTCCAAGGGGGTAGGAATTTTCTTAGACCTTAATTTTCATCCAATAAAGCAGCAGTTTCTTTATCAACTACCCTTTTTAAGGAAAGTATTAAATTATAATCTGGATTTTTCAGATGAAGTTCACCAACGCCCATTTTCTCAACACTACAAACCTAGGAAGTTTGATTAAAATCCAGAATTGTTTGGATCTCAAATCCATGACATTCCCACTGCCTTATCCCCTTAAATATCAGGAAGTGTGTATCTGACTTTCCATTAGATGTAGTTGCTACACTGTCCTTGAAGTAGGTCTGACGGCCCAGTGCAGGAAGTGGGGGTGGGGGGCGGTTCGGGGGGTGGGGGGGGGGGGGGCGGGACTCAGGAAGATAAGGTCAGAGAAGAAAATTTCTTTCCCCTCCAGCGTAGCTTCCCACCTGGTGTTGAGTAGAAGCAGGGAGAGGGTGCAATGGGGAATCCTACCCTCAAATCATCCCAGCTCTGAGGAGGCGTCAGGAATTCTAGCCCTGCCCAAGAAAGATAGCCCTTATTTCCACTTGCTGTTTCAATGTTTAAGTTTGAGTGGCTGGAGGTTGCTCCAGTTGGTTTGTTTTTATCCTGGAGCCTCCATGCCCCTCCTACAAAGGTAAGTTTAGCTCCCAAACTACACGGTCAGACAAGCTGCAAAACACATACATAAACCTGTGCATTCACATGCCAGCCACTTTTTATAGATAAAATCGGCATTGTATATTGAAGTTTTGCCTAACTGGAGATTTATTACACTGGATAGATTATTAAGTCCTTGAAGGAAGGATGTGCATCCTTCCATCTTTGTGTCTCTATTTTCTAGCACAGTACCTATTTGTTGAATGAATATTTACAGAATGGATGAATATTATAAAAGAACCAGCCTCTTTTCCACGTTTGCCCTACAGCTAAGAGCCTGCTTGCATTTTATCAGTTTTTCCTTCTGACTCTTACCATCCGAATCCAAAAACCACCAACCTAGTCTCCAGCAGAATGATCAAATCACAACACTTTCTATCACATTGTATCTTAATTGCCTTTCAAATGATAAGCATCAAATCAATCGTCAAAGAGGTCAACTTCTACGTGAGTATATAGGATTTTCTTTGTCACATTATTTGTTGTAACCAAATCAGCAAATCACTTTTGACTTGAGCTAATAATGACTTGAAAATTATCTCATGTTATAGAATCCAATGTTAAAAGTAGTCATAAAAATAAAGATTTACTTTTTTGTGTGGGTCTGCCTGCAGCCCAGATCCTGAATCTGCCAGAGACATTTCCACATGGAGAAGAATTTTAAAAAGACCTTTTAGAGGCCAACAAAAAGCTTATAATCTTATCTTACCCAGCAAGAAAGCTTTGTGTTTTTATAAGCCCTTTCAGCCTTTCAGTCTACATTTCAGAAAGGTCTTGAAGAGTCCTCTAGGAAATTCTCTATATTTAGAGGGTTTTTTTTATCCTAAAAGAGAAATCTCCAATCTAACAACACATTTGGGTCAGAATATATTTTCCAAGAAAATGAAACTTCTTTATTACGATTTATGTCATAAGCCTTTTTTTTTTTTAAAGTATCACACTATACAAATTTCTCTGCAACTAGCTGACTATTAAAGAGAATAAGTTATAAGTATAACTGCATGGTATTTTAGAGTTGATTTATCACATTTCCCTGTTGACTGACATTACCCCTAAAAACAGCACACCATGTGGCATCTTTGTCTATATATGTGTCTATGCATATCTTAAATTCTATTAAGTGTTGCCAGATTCCTTTCCACCCTGGATTCTTAAGGCCACACAATTCCATACATAATGAGACTGCATCCTGACAATCTGATCTGAATCACAATCTCGGCTGTCTGCTGAAATCAATGAGAATTCTGTAGATACTAGGTTAGAGTCTCATTTTGTCCTTCATTCAGCTCTCTCATTGACTCAGGATGAGTTGTTTACTGGGGCAGATAATAATACTACAGCTTTTAATGTTCAGATGGGAGTAAAGTAATTAAAATTCACTTTTCATTTTATTTTTACCCAAGCGCAATATCCCTGAGCCAAACCTATAAGCAACATAGCACTTGTTACTTTCCCATATTACCTTGGAAACACAATATATAACTCATTTTCTACGTACCGGGAAATGTAGTCATCAGAGAACCTGTATGTTATACCTGAAAGATATTCAAAATAGACAAATTAAAAGAAATGTTGCTACACATTTGTTGAATCTTCCAGAGAGTGTAGTGAGGGGAGCTTTGCATTAATGTCAGTTAACAACTTTGATCAAACCACTCGGCCACCACTGATAGAACTAGAGATCAAGATCTTCCCTGATTCGGGCCAATCGTATTCTCCCTTGGTAACGGGATACAAGCAGTGCAGCTTGGAAGTGATGTAGAGCCAGATGTGTGGCCATTTTATGCAGGGGAAACACCAAGCTGAGAACGCTGGAACCTCTGCCCCTGCCTTCCCTGTGGTGCCAGTCCACTGTGGGGCACAGCGCTCCTTCCTGACTTTGAGTTCCATGAAACACGTCTGCCTCCTTCTGAAAAATTTCCTTCTTTGCCCTTGATAACTTGAATAGGCTTTCCTTCCTTACCAAAAAAAAAAAAAAAAATCCATAGAAGACAATTTTGTTAATTTATTTGTTATCTATCTTTGAAGTGTCTTAACATTTCTTGACACATGATCAACAACAGAAAAACGATGCTCAGGAAGTCGCTCTGGTTGTGATTCCATTTCATCCACATGGTGCAAATAGGGGCAAGAAGAGATAGGGGTTCTAGGGAGAAGAGATCAGGAAAAAGTTGGAAACAGTCTCTAAAATTAATCAAAACAGTAGAATGGCTTTTAAAAGAAACAACATGCTTGTCTGCAGTAACAAGACTGACCAGAGACCTGATGTAGGATCGCAAAACCGTGACAAAATTATCTGCCAAATCTCAGAAAGTGACCAGCGTTGAGCCTTGAAGGTGCTGGTTCAAAGGTAAATAAAAGGAAGCACTTTTACCTCAAATTAAATATATGATTTCAAAATTGGAAACAATACTTTCAAGAATATATTTTAGTGAAAGGCAATTGATTCATAATGAATTATTGAAGGGAATGAAAGGAAATTCAGAGTATAGTTTTAATAATTGAGATCAGTATTATGAAATCTATGTCATCTGTTCATTGGTAAATTTTCTTCGATGTTGAACTGGATGGACGTATATAGTATGATATTTATTATATCTTGATTGTATATTATTTAACCTGGCATTAAATAAAAGCCAAAATCTTGCAAAAGTTATTCCTATAAAAATGAAACCCAGCATTAAGTCTCTGACAATGACTCAGAGACAATAGCAACCAAATGATGATCTTTCAGCTTTAATATATAAAAGAGCATTGTGTATTGGTAAGGAACTAGCAAAAACATTTCCAAATAATTGAATAAGTCACCAAACAACTACACAGATTATTTTTAGTTAGATTCATGTGCAAGAAAGTTGAGTTATTCTCGAAAGAGGTCATTAACTCTTAGAGAAACAGTATTGGAACAAATTATTAAAATCATCACATTGGAATATGAAATGGACGTGTCACATGTCAAGGTGTTTGGAAGAATTCTGTGAAGACCAAATGTGAGAAGTTTTTGTAAAACGTATATACCGAGCAGCTGTGAGACCAAAAATGATGAATGTAATCCATTTGGGACAGATCCAAAATACCTCTCTTCTAGCCCACAGGAAATGCCCTACCATCCACTGCATACAAAAGATGTGATTACTTTCAACCGTCTTCAGATTAGACTAGTCTTATGAATATAAATGCACATGGATGTTGGAAGGAGCCTACTGAAGTCTACTGTTGCACATAGCCACAAGTTGTTGGAAGCCCAACAATATCAGAAAGCTTGAGAAACATACATATAATCAATAGGCATAAAAATAGAAATTATTTCATATAGACCAGGAAATTGTAATAAAGTATGTGTTGGTGGCCAGCCCGTGACCAAGTGGTTAAGTTTACATGCTCTACCTCTGCGGCTGGGGTTTCACAGGTTTGGATCCCAGGTGAGGACTCACTCATCAAATCATGCTGAGGCAGTGTCCCACATAGCACAACTAAAATGACCTACAACTAGAATATACAACTCTGTACTGGGGTCCTTTGGGGAGAAGGAAAAAAAAAGAGGAAGATTGGCAACAGATGTTAGCTCAGGGCCAATCTAAAATAAATAAATAATGTGTTGATTTCTTTTTGTATGATAGAAATGTTTATACTCGGGTCATTAATTATTATTCAGCTTTGCCTGGAAGTAAAGTGCTTATATAAAAATTTAGTCAAACTTGTACACAAAGCCTGATGTATCACGGAACAAATTCAGAGTGAGAAATCAGAAGACGTTAGAGCAGCTCTTCAATGAATTTGCTGTGTGACAACTTGCAAATCACTTTAAAACTGTGATTCTCAGTTTATCCCTAAAGTAGGGTTAATAATGCCTATATTTTGTGAGTAGATGTGGACGATAAATGAAACAATTTTTGTAAAAACATTTTAGAAAATGACAAAGTTGTTTTTCAACATTATGCATTCTAAATCCATATCAAATAACAAGTCTCAATTTCATTGTGCTGATTTGAATTGGGAATTCATTAAATGGATAAGCTGAAAACAAACTGATATGAATTTAGATGCTATTTTAAAGGTAAAAGATTTGTAAGTAAAGCTTGATTTGGAATGAAATAACCAAATCTCACCTTTGGCAAAAGAATTGTCCCCAACTAAGTGTTAAATTGAAAGAAAAGATAAAAAAAAAAACAAAGAAAAAATTTAAAAACAAAATAGTGACATTACTTAAGTAGAATAAGAAAAAACAGGGGTTTTGTAAAAATATTTCCCCAAACAGACTAACATTTAAAAAAAATAATGTGGCTCTTCCAATTGGAGGTACGCAGAGTATGAATGTTGCTTCCTGGAAGGCATACTGATATACAGTGTAAAAGGAGAGCTCTGTAGAAAGAAAATGTAGTTGGAAGTATTATCAGCAGAGAAAAGTAAAAAAAGTTTTAGACCAAAAAGTTTTGTGGGAAAAAGGAAGTAGAAGCAACCGTATAAAGGATTCAATATAATAATGCAGTGCTTAGATGGAAAGAACGGGAACTAAAACCATGTGAGGAAGAAAATAATGAGTAAATGACATTATACATAGAGACCAACTATATTGCAAAGTGCCCTGGAAGGAAACTCACAGAGTTCAAGGATGCCACATTCAACACTCCTCTGAGGATTTAAATGTGTAATCTGGAGCTGAACAATCATACTTATGTGGTTTTAGTTTTGCAATCCTTCCTGTGGGAAGTGTGATGGAAGAGGACCTCTTTAAATAGGGGCGTAGTAACCAAATGTTGAAAGGTTACAGCTAAGGAGAAAGGTCAGTAAGCTCAAGCTCCAGAAAAGAACTAGCTCTGTCATGAGGGCTTATAAGTTTGTGTAAAAATAGGGGTGAGCCAGGTGGCGTAGTGGTTAAGTTTCCGTGCTCCACTTCCGTGGCCCAGGATTCACTGGCCTGGATCCCAGGTGTGGACCTACACACCACTCACAAAGCCATGCTGTGGTGGAGTCCCACATACAAAATGGAGGAAAATTGGCATAGATATTAGCCCAGGGACAATCTTCCTCAAGTAAAAAGAGGAAGATTGGCAGGAGATATGAGCTCAGGGTCAACCTTCCTCATCAAAAAGAAAAGGGAAAGAAAGAAAAAATAAATGGCCTGGTTTAAAAGCCACCTAATCATTTCAATGATATTTAGTAAAAAACCAAAAAAAAGCAGTTTTAATTTTGCTACAAAGCTGTTACATTTGCAAGCCTCTGTGAGAGAAGAGCTGGGCAAGTTTCTGCAATCCTCTCCTGTGATTCAGATACGAACACTGCGGTCAGGTGCATGGTGGAGAGGGTGTGAGCAAACATTTGCTTTTATGTTTGCCTCTTTATAGTGCTCACCTTTCCGTGCGCAATACAGAACAAGAAACCACCACACATGGCTTAAACTCTATCATAAAAATTTTTTGATACATTTTTAATGTGAAAAATGTGCAGATATAGTGATAGGACTTTGATGTATGAGCAAACCATACACTTGTTTATCCTTCTTGTCAAGACAGAGAAGAAAGGTTGGATAAAGAATATTTGGGGGATTTAAAGGAGGAAATCGCTAATGCATTCCTATCAGAAAGAGAAATAAATAGAATCCTCCTAAAGAACAGATTTGGACAAAGAATCACATAAAAATGAAAGACTTATTTTGGGGGGAAGGGAGAGCTCCATTTCAAAGCTTCCACCTAGCACTGCTACAGAAAACATCAAGGGCACGCTTATCTGGTCTATCTGATTGAATGTGTAGATATTTTATTGTTGCTGGAATAGAGATTTTCTTCTGTGAGCTATTTAATACGCCAGCAAAATGTACTCACTGAGAGTTCACCAAGTTAGAGTCATATCTTGCAAGTTTCTTAGCCACAAAGAATAGCACAAAGATGTAAAAATAAAAAGTTACATGAGGCCAGATACGGGGCATTGCGTTCCGCAGACCGACTGGTAGGCTGGCTAATGTGAAGGAATCTCTTCCAGTCTGTCTGTCTGTCTAGGAGAAACAAAGCAGGGAGGAGTCTTCAGGAAGACTGGAAAGGAGCTAATCCCAAACCTACCTGCATCTCTGAGTGAGAAAGGGAGATAGCACTGTTTGCTCATATGAAATAGAAAGGGCAGCAGTTATTACTAATACTTGGAAAAGATGTCAGGAGAACTTGAGATGATTGGGAAGCGGTTGCAGAAAGAAAAAGGGGAGATGAGATGAGAACGAGGGTATGTTTCTGGCATCAGTGACCACTGCTGCAGGGCTAGTCTCAGGTTTGCACACTAACACAGCGCAAGACCCAGGGTTGGGTGCTCCACCTGAGGAGGATGCATTCCTGCTCAAAGAAAATAACTTGCGGTAGGCTAATGTGTAGAACCAATTCCAGGAAAGCCTAGAGAACACTCTCTAAAATGAACCTGTATGTGACTTAAAGGAACACAACCGTTATTGCTAAAACTCAGGTTATTGTAGACTTGTTAAATAATACAGAGGTGGGGGCAGGAAGTGAGACAGGAGCTGAGGAGGGCTCGCAGAGGTTAGGGGTGGTGGGAGCAGCGAAGAAGCCAGAGATAACAGACATTAAAATTAAATCCGGTGACATGTAGCCATAGCAAGCCCTTAACAAATATTTGTGGAACTGACGGAAGGAAGCACCAGGGCTACCAAGATCAGGGATATGGGCTGTCTCCTGTCCAGGACTGACCTGCTAAGTCCCCAGCACTGTGCTGAGCTATCTATATAATTCTCACAAGAGACCTATGGTCTAGTTGGTAGTTTCTACATTTTCTAGATAAGGAAGCTGAAACTCAGAAAAGTTTTATGACTTGTACAAGATCTCCTAGGTAAATACTGAAGGCAGAGTTCTAATTCTTGTCAAGTTGACTTCAAAAGCCACCATGTTAAAAATAACTGAGGGAACTGAAATTGATTTTTAAAAATATATCAATGAATGTAAGTTATTATTTCCTATTTGTTTAAAGAAAGTTATTTCCCACCATACTGCTTGTAGGCAATAGACATTTATGACATGGCTGAGGCAGTAAGCGTTTGTACAATTGAAAAGAAAAATAATAAAAGAAATCTGTCTTTAAAAAAATGAAAAAGCCTGCTCTTTGTTTGTTTTTTTTTTGGAGGAAGATTAGCCCTCAGCTAACTACCGCCAGTCCTCCTCTTTTTGCTGAGGAAGCCTGGCTCTGAGCTAACATCCGTGCCCATCTTCCTCTAGTTTATACGTGGGACGCCTACCACAGCATGGCTGCCAAGCAGTGCCATGTCCGCACCCGGGATCCGAACCAGCGAACCCCAGGCCGCCAAGAAGCGGAACGTGCGAACTTAACCGCTGCGCCACCGGGCCGGCTGCAAAAGCCTGCTCTTTTTTTAGTTATGCTACTATCTTTTAGCAGTTGTCAACTAACCATTATACCCAAACAAGTCCCCAAAGGAATTTGTATGGTGGCAAAATGTTGTGAATATGGATCAATAAGTTCCATTGTACAAACTACTAAAAATGAGAATTGGAAAACCCATTTGTTGCCTGGGCCCACACACATCTCCAGAGGATTACTACTGGATCAACGGATGAGTAAAGTAGTAGTCCAAATGATTATTCTTGTCCTGGTTTCCACCTTATTTCACCTCCATAGCTCTCAATTCACCTTTTTCTAATACAGGTGACAATATAATCTGCATTCATAAAATTTCCTAAAGAAGAAATTAAAATATAGTCATTTTAAGCCATTGCTTAAAGAAAAGTGCTGCTTTTAGCTTATTTTTTTCTCCAAAGGAAATTTTTTAAAAAGATATCCGATGATGCGGTGTTCGTGAATCTGACTTACAAGGTTTGTTTGAAAAAACACTTGATTTTAAAAATAATTGATGAAATCACCGCTAATGAAAACGCATAGCTTGCCTGGAATTTCATCTTTGGCATAGAAATGGTGTAATAGAGATCTTAAAAAAGTGTTGGGTTCTGGTTGAGGACATTTGGTCAACAACGTAAAAGCAGCGTGTGCTGGTGGAATGTTTTGGACGAAGAATTAGAAAAACAACTGGGCACTTATCCTTGATTTTGCTATTGATCAGTTATGCTACTTCATTTGCTAGGGCCTCTCATCTTCTTTTTCAAACCTGCATGACATTAACGCCTTCTTCTTCGTAATTTACATTAGCATTATCAACACTCAAGAAGACATTTCTAAAAAGATCAAGGATTCTCTCCAGGATCTGACCATTGTTCTAAATTAGCTTCATGAAATTTTTCTTGGTGCCATGTCTAACTTAATTTCGTTAACTTCACTTTATTTCTTTTCACCTGTTAAAAGAAAATGTGTTTGGGGACTGGCCTGGTTGCATAGCGGTTAAGTTCAAACGCTCCGCTTCAGCAGACTGGGGTTTGCGGGTTCCGATCCCAGGCGCGAACATATACACCACTCATCAAGCCTTGCTGTGGCGGCCTCCCACATACAAAATGGAGGAAGATTGGCAACAGATGTTAGCTCAGGGCCAAGCTTTCTCACCAAAAAAACAAAAAGGAAATGTGTTTTTCTTTTCTATTCATTTACTACCACTTAAATGTCCTGCCCCCAATAGTTTTTTGCTTCTAAAATATTAAGACCCCTCCCAGAAATAGTTAAAGTTTCTTCTTCCATCCATCCATCCATCCACCCATCCATGTATTCAACATACATATATTGAATGCCTACAGTATGCAAAGATTTTGCCAGTTACTGGCATTACACTCTTTCAATAATGCACATGAGGGTGAAAGTCACATGGTTAAAACTGCTGCCCAGCTTGTTAAAAAGAAAGCTGACACGGCAGGTGCCCTTGAGTATTTGATAACGAGCCTGTGGTTCAGTCTATTGCTTTTCCAGTTCCCTTCTGATCCCAGCAGAGCCTACTGCACCTTAGAGGACCCGACTGATGCTGAGAAATTTGAGTAGGTGTGAGTGGAACCTTAAAGATCTAGTCTTCCCTTTTCTCATCAAACATCACAGAGAACGTTTATGGCTGCTCCAGAATAGACTAATTTCATGGGTTGTTCAGTTGGCGGAGGAAAAATACATTTTACCAGGATAATCGCTTCCTATTCTATACTATAAGGCAGAGATAAAGCTAAGATTGGGAGTCTGTCTACATTTCTAATATGGGTTACACTCTTAAAGTAAGAGAACCCTCAGTGTGAAAAAAATGTATCAAATAGCTTTTCTAGAGACAGAAATATCCTGTTGGATAACATTTCATAAAACTGTCTTCTTCTGTAGGTTTTCCAGTGGCTCAGTCTCCATTCAAGCAGGTGCCATATGACTACTTCTCAAAATGTCTTACCTTGTCGCTGCTTTTCCACATAGCAGGAAATATTGAAGATCAGCGATACAACAAGAGCTAAACCCAAGAAGGCCAGAATTGCCCAGACAGAAAAAGGGCATCCAGAGCTTCCTGCAAACAAAAGCAAACATGCCCTTAATAGAGCAGCTGCTCACCCATTTGTTTTGAACTGGGTATTCGCGCAACTAAAACCACTGCATTTGTTCACAACAAAGGACAAATCCTCCACCAAGAAATTAACATTGACAGCTTCTTACAGATTTCAAAATCAGTACTGCCGATAAGTCCCTGCATTCAGCATGGCCAAAAGGAAGCAAGTTTCCTACGTGCTTAATGTTGATGAAATGGAAGACGCTTTCAGCCTAGCTACTAAAATTTGACAACTGGCAACTGATTATAAAAACTTTGCTTCAAAACCAAGAACATTCAAATTACCTGGAATCATACTTTGCTATACTTTCCCCTTTCTTTAATCCTCAGACTATAATCATACATGCCTTCATTATTTACAGAAAATTACTTCGTCCCGTCTGTTAATCCCAGTAGCATAGGCTACTGTGTGTTGGAATGAAATAATAATTCTGGAATCATAGAAACCCAGTTTTGTCAAGATTGATCATAAGGAGCTTTTCTCATACTGTTTAAAGCCCTATGATTGGATAATGGAAAGTTGATTAGGCTTCCCTTTCTTCCCTGTGAAGGTCTCTTTTTTCATTCCTGAGCTGTAAAGCAGGTTCTGTGGGATATTGCCGGTCAGTTGCCCTTATTATTTGTGGCAACCTTTACACATATATGAGCAACTACTAAGATCATTAGCCTGATTATGTATATAGCGTTATATATCACATATATAATATTATATACTTTATTGTATATAATATTTATATTTATATGTAATTAGGGTAATGATCTTAGTAGTCATATATCCATATGAATGCTGATCTCAGAAAAGGAACTGGTGATTCTGTGCTACAGTATATTTATGTATTGAACCAGTATCAATAAGACACCCTCTCTGTGCTAGGAACTGTGCCCCATGTTAGGGAATCAAAGGTAAAGAAAACAGAATCTCTGCCCTCAGGAACTCTCTGTTAGTTGGGGACGTGGATGAGTGAACACATACTTAGAAATGCAATGTGAATATCATGTTCCTTCATACAATGGTGGTCCCATAAGATTAGTACCATCTAGATTAGGTGTGTAGTAGGCTATACTATCTAGGTTTGTGTAAGTACACTCTATGATGTTCACACAACGACAAGATTGCATAACAATGTGTTTCTCAGAACTTATCTCCCTTGTTAAGTGACGCATGACTGTATATTATTCGGTTCTCAGGTGTAAGCAGCTGATTTATTTATTGGCCTCATTTAGTTTTAAACCAGCATAGTTAGGCATATAGATGATTCCATATACAGAATGTACATGTATATGTATTTACGATATAGATGTACGTATACATGCATGCGTATCACCTATTCATATATACATTGCTTTTGTTTGGACTAGTCTGTGGCTCTTTCAGCACCAGCATCTCTGTCTGCTAACACGTGCAACCTCCTCTTTAATTCTGTGCCATGTTATTAGAACTTCAAAAGACCACAAGCTCCGTGGAGAACAGGAGCATTTCTGCTTTCTGCTCTGCAGTGCCAGACACATAGTACATGATTTATAAAAATTTTTTAGGAATTAATTAATAAATGGGAAAAAATAACTGCTAATGGTAGTGAAATGTGTGCTTTTATTTTCCTTAAGGGAATTTTTATGTTTCATAAAGTATAAGAAAATCAAGAAGACTTGAAAAGTCTTTTATCCTCTGCAGTAGACTTACCAATTAATTTGGTTAAAAACACTAAAGTTTGGAGGAGCCTAATTTATTCATCATGATCATAAACCCATAAATATTTAGGAGAACTCTACAACACAATATTTATTAACTATTTTAAATATACTAGAAATTCTAGGCGTTGTGTGGTACTGCATATATTTTTAGAATTATTTACTTGATTTTTATGTTTGTTTATTAAAAAAAGTGCCTGCTGAGTGTAAATTTTAAAAATTTCAGCAATACAGAAATATAGAATAACACGTAAGGTTTTCTATTAAAACATAAATGTGTTTGGGGAATTTTTACCATGTTAGTATGTTATTTTTAGTGGCTGCGTAGAATTCCACAGTGTTGCTGTACTATAATTTGTCTACCCATTTCTCTAAGGTGGACATTCTGACTTTTTAAAACGTTTTTCTCTCACAAAAAATAATGCAAGAAATGTCATTGGACAGACATTTTGTGCATATTTGGGTTATCTGTGGAAAAGAATCTTGGGAGTAGCATTGCCGGGTCAAAGGGAATTTTCAAGGAAAGCTTTCAGAGACAGATTGAGCCCCACCTCCAACTGATAATAATCCTTCTCAGGTGGTTGATTTAACTATAATTGTGGAAAATGAAGCAAGCAAGCTGTCTCGCTTGCCAGATGGGTCTCAGTTTCTCTCTTTGTTGTCCCAATACGGGGGTATTAATGTCTGATTTCTATTCTTAAATTAATGATTAAATTAAAGATTTCTATTGTTAAAGATTTTTCTTCTTCTTGTACATGTCACTTAAGGACCCACAGTCCAAGTACCATTTTAAGTTCTTCTACATTTTAAAACAATTTGAGGGCACATACTGTATTTTCTGTTGAGGTATAACACAACTACCTTTCAGGCTGTTTAGTCAGCCAAAGGCAGACTCTGATCACTCATCCTCCACAGTCACTGTATTTGGTGACACTTAAATAAATGACCTTTAATTGCTACAAAGAGGCCAGACTTATTATAGACATCATCCATGTTTAATGTTAAAGACAATTAGTAAACTCAGATAAGAAAAAACTAAAAGATAATCAATCACAATCTTATTATCAAGACATAATCACTGTGGACACTTTGGTTAATATACTTCCAAACTTATTATTCTCTGTGTAGAAATTGTTATGGAGACATAGGATTCAATTATACTGACTCTACTGAACTCGACTTTCCCACCAATAATTTTATAGTGTGCTTCTCTTCCTATCAACAAAAGATGCTTCCATTTCTTTTAGCTGCCAATTCCATTGTATGGATTTTCCATAATTTATTTAAGCAATCCCTTAGACATTTAAGTTGCATCTAATTTTTAGTTATATAAGCAATGTTGTGATGAATATCTTTAGCTAAAACTATACACCCACCTTAATTTTTTTTTTTTTAGGTAAAATTTCTTGAAGATGAATTGCTGAATCAAAGGATATACACATCTTAAAGGATTTTGATATCTTGATGGCCAAGGTTTTAAAATACAATACTAAGCAGACCCTTCTCAGGTCCGTCTGGGCTCTGTTTTTATTACTTCAATTGGCCCTGACGTTATGTTTATGGCTCTGTTGGTGAATTAACACTCCATCAACCACTACTCATGATCTACCTATCTTTCCACATACTGTTTCCGTGTACGCCCCTCCTCTGTGGTTTCTGGAGAAAGTTGTTCCTTTGTCTTCTCTCTGGAGCCTTCTCTCTGGAGGTCCATCAGGAGAAGCTGCCTGCTCCTATCTCTGCCCTAAACATAGAGGACATCACACTTTTCTTTTCTTACTATGAACAACTTCCACAAAAGTGTTACTTTAGGTTTCCCGCCTCTTTTAGGACTTACCTCCTATAGCCACCCAATAATAGAGCATGTTCCAATCATTCTGAAGCACTTGAAATTTCCAGTAGATTCCATACTTACCATTTCATGTCTCATGTCTCTGCCTATTTACTCCTTTATCTGAATTACCTTTCCCCTTAGTATCTGACAAATTCCTAGTCATCCTTCAAGAGTACCTTCTCTTTGAAGCATTCATTCAATGCTGCCTGTCCCTCACCAAGTGACATCGTATGCATCCCTCTTCATTTCAACAAGTATTGAATCAACCATTTATGCAGGAAAACCTCTCCCTCACTAAACTGTGAACTTCCCAAAGGACAGAAAGAATGTTATATTCATCATTGTCTTCATGCCTCAATTTCCTCATTGTACTTATTGTTATGGGGATTAAATGAGTTGAGACATGTAATGAGATTTGTAGAATAGTGTTTCTCACTAATAAAATGCTCAATAAATGTTAGCCAACATTATTCTTATTCTTATTCTTATCTCACTACTAGTAAGACTCCTATTATTATTTCTGCAACTTATTCAGCGTGAAACAGGTGCTCAGTAAACGTGTCCACTGACAAACTGGAGTGAAGAAGGGAAATGTAATGACCACAGTCAACAGAAAAGGTTCTGCTCAAGTGTGAATTCCAGACACATCCACAGCCCAGGAGAGACAAGTTGAGGATTCTATTACATTCATCTCTAGTGCTATTGACAAAGGACCTACCTCCCCGCAGCTGGGAAATAGAGCCCTGTGAGAAGAGGAGCTCATTGGGCCACTGTGGCTCTGGTGAAAGGACTCATCAACAGCCTCCTAGTTCTCTCTGCCCTGGATCTATATTTAACAAAAAACCTACGGATTATTAATTTCTTTCCCAGTAAACTTGATACGAGGAAGTTGGTGCTAACAGCTAGCTATCTGATTAGATTTATGGGAGTGGTAACCACTATAAATGAAAATTTTTATTTTCTTGCTTAAAAATCAGTCTTTGGGGAGTTTGATTATCATCAGTAAAACCTCTTGGGAGGGAATTTAGAGAACATCACTAGTTGGGGTAAGCTTTATGAGCCCACTGCAACCCTAGGCAATACATGCTCACCCGAAACTGGGATGTTAAAAACAGAAGAGTGAAGGTGAGCAGAAACAATCTCCTCATGGACACATTATAATTTTAGGAAGCAGAAAATGGGATGTGCTTTCATTCTCTTCTCTTCAACTTTTACCTTAAAGATCTAATATGTTTATTTTTACTTATTAAATGCATACCCACCTACTATGAGAACAGAAAAATGGATGTTTTCGTATATGCTTATAATATTCATAAACCAAGAGTAACCTCATGAAATAGTTGTTCTCTCTAGTTATTGTCAGAGAAAGAATGACGGAAGAGTAACTACTTAAAATTCAAATTACTGTTTTTGACGGATGTTCTTCATTATCTTTTTTAGC